TTTTATTATTCGAATTGCGTTGCATCCCGTGGGACAATTCACAGCGTCCAAGCTATTTAGATGTGGTAAATGATTACAAATGAGTGTTATCAGCCGCAATCTGCTTATCTGACATAAGTACTATATACGTATGAAAACTAAGCGTGCTACTACTACTAGACTATTAAATAGCTTATTATAATATCACAGATTTGATACAAGTTACTTATTAGTAACGATACTTCTGCGCTAAATTCATTTAAAAAAAAAAAAAACACCATTTGTAATTCTATTTTTAGTAAATATCTAAACATATTTCGACGTAAATTTATGAAATTAAAATGAACAAATAGGAATAGAAATACAGTTCAAGTAGGCTCTTATGAGCCTAATAAGGTCCAAATATTAGCACGCAAAATACATACAGTAGCGACATCTATATGTTTAACTATATATGTAATCAAACCCATTTAATTGTATAATATAATTATTACATTGTTGCATTCTAGGAATAAATATGTACTGCGAATTACGAGATTCAATAAACAAACACGTAGCTAACGGTAATGAGTTGACAGAATTATGAACTTGGCGATTGAGTACAGACGACGCGGCGTCTACAGCGTGCTGCTACTATGAATTTAAACTGCTCACAATGTTATCGTGAGGATCTTATCTGAGGATTCCTTGTTATCTGTCGCTCTTAGTAGGCCTAGGTGACTTATTATGAATACCGTTCAGAATTCTCTACGGAATACATCAGCCATTATTTGCTCACTACTGAACCTACGCCTCCCCTATAAATTGGGAAGTTCTACCAATAATTGTCACGCTTTTCAAGCGGGTTGGCAACCGCAGTTAGACTTTGGTAATGTTTTAAGAGGGACTCTACTGTCCATACTTCGACTCTTAATACCTTTAATCGCTTATTACGACACCCACAGAAAAGAATGGCCCATTTTATGCCAGGACTACATGGCGTACTAACTCTGTATGTGTTCGTAAATTTAAAATCGAATCTGTAAAAAAATCTGGCTCTTATACGGAGTACAGAGTATGGGGACAGCACAGAAAAATCTAGGGTTTGTGTGCGACTGCGAAAAGGACATGTAAGTCACTCGGAGACAAAAAAGGTCTCTGCTGACAATTTTGTTATTATTCTATTATTTATTGTTTAACTGTTCATTAAGTTATCGTGGTTTTAGATTTATATATTTAGATAGAGAAACTCTTTATTGCATCAAGACATACATAAAAATCGTGACAATAGTAAGAGAAAAGAAAAAAATAAAATAAAAGGGCGATATATACATTTTTTTTACATAATTTAATATAAAGAACTAGTAGGTGTCATGTCGTATAGGGAGGTCAAAGATATAGCCTAAGATAGACCTAGCTGGAAGTAAATACATGAATTAGTTGCATCGATACGAGGAAACTCTTAAATAAAAAGAAAGAAACAGAATATATGAAAATGTAATGAATATGTGTACCGTACAGTGATGCAAACAGACAATATCTCAGTGAGGTTTTCTGCTTATAAAGCTAACCGTTGATTTTCAGTTACTGCCTGGAAAAAGTTCCCAAAGTGTATTTATCATGAGCTGCCAGGGGAAAACGTACAATTTAATATCAGTGCTGTGCAGTAATGATACCTAATTACATCGTCTAATGAACAGACTGTACAACGGCTGGACTTCTGCGCGTACGCACGTCCTTCGACCGCAGCGTCGTGCGTGCACCACGAGGAAATTAAATAAATGTATACAATAATAATATAAAAAGAGGAAACGTTCTCTTAAACATTGAAGGTATGTCATTATGTACAGATTTATCCCCTATAATATTTAAAAAAAAAATACGCAGTTACAGTGAAATAATTATTTCTACAGGAGATTTTGCTCTAACCAAAATACGTTTTTTGCGTTAAGATAAAGGATATTTTATTACTATTATACTAATTGCCATGTGGTTGGGGGGAAAGGGATTGTTAGTAATGAGGTCTAATAGCCGCATTGCTAGCAATATACCCTATCAAGTCGATCTCCACGCGGTTCCCCTGGAAACCATCATGATTAATTCTTGGTGAATTCAACATGGTGGGCCAACTGACCTGCATTCATTCTCACCTATCATCTTCCACTGGTGCTCCGCCAGCGTATACCGTTAGCGCAGGCGGGAAATGATTTTACCATTCCATTATCATCCATTAAAAAAAACTGCCATGTGGTCTCGGCATAGAATTAATAACCCCTCCCTTTTGCATGGGGGTCGCATGAGAAGACTAACGGAACTTAATGGTCGAGGGATGGGCAGCAGTGGGCGTCCCTCTTAAAACATCACCAAAGCCTAACTGCGGTTACGAACCCGCCTGCCAAGCGCAGCGCCTACTGGAAAAAGCTCCCTCATGGGAGAAACTAATGTTCAGCAATGGACAGTTAATGGCTGTATAATGATATTAAATAAAATTGATAATATTACAGCACTTTTTTAATAGACTTTTGCTACAATTTTTTAACTGGTCAGAGTTCCATATGACTTCCTGGCGACATAGTTATTATACATGCCTTCTTTTAGATGGAGCTTAAATTTTATAAAATGTCCCAAAAAACAATCAGACAACTAAAAGCGGCCACATTGTTTTTTCATACTTTACAAAAGTTTGAAAGCATAATATTGATAATATAATGAATATAAATAAATAAAATAACAAGTTTTAAAAAAAATAATAAGATACAAGATTAGTCTAATTTAAGAACTCGCGAAAAATACGCCATTTAAAAAAATGTAAGGCCATTTTGTTGAAGCATTCATAGAAAGATTCTTTATCTAAAAATGACATGATCAAGTGTATAAATCTAAGATTCTTAATGTGTATATAAGTACTTAAATAATCATATTACATTTATGTAGTTAACGCTAACTATTGCGTGGTCATCATTAGGTACCTGTGCACACAAGGAATTATAGAATGGTATACCAGGAATTTAAAAATTGATATAATAACTTTTACAAAATGCAAGATGTACGTTAAAGTAAGTTTAAAGGTATTGTCACACTAAAAGCGATTGCAAGATACGCGAATAACGTGTCATGTAAGTATTTCGCTAATATCTATACTATATATAATATCTATCTATACACCAATATTAGAAAGATTTGATTGTTTGTTCTGGATAAATTTAAAAACTACTCGAACGATTTTTAAAATTCTTTCAGATATAGAAAGCTACATTATCAGCGAGGAACACACGCTATATATTATTTTCGAAAATTATATCTACCCGTGCAAAACCGCGCCAGATCGCTAGTAAATAATAAAAAATGTTATCATTCAAATTACTATATAGCAAAGTTATCATAATTAAATATGTTTAACTTAAATCACAATATAGTAATTCAAAATATCACCATCATCATATCAGACGTCTATTGTCAATTGTTGAACATAGGCCGGCAGCACTCCTGCAATATCTCTGGTTTTGTAAGTACTCATGGGCGGCGATATTCACTTACCATCAGGTGAGTCGCATGCTCATTTGCCTCCTGTTATAATAGACCTCCCTCAAAAAAGAAGAATCTATTAATAAATTAAAATTAATTTTAATATATAAACTCAAAGCAATTACATTCAAAATATATAATTATCAAACTGGGGTGCAATTATTAAATTACAATGATAGGTGACACAACATAATAAACGCATTATTATTATAATAACTATGTGTATTGATGATGAAAGAATAATATTGATTTTGTTTTCTCTCTGTTATGTTATATCAATTTGAATTATATAATTATCAAAAAATCTATTTTTTGAGTTGGTGCATTCACATTCATCATTTCGCCTTAATTATATTTACGAAAATATTACCAGAATTGGTAGTTTTTTTTTTTAATTATAGACATATTCATACAAAGAAAATATTTATAATATTTATCTTATATTGTATATTTTATGTTTGATTTTCATGAAAACTTAAAGGCATGGAAACGCAAGTTTTCATTAGTGGAGGAGGTACCTAACCGAGATGACATTTTATAATGTGTTTTATTTTACTCATATCGATAGATGGCGTATACTAATTAAGTATTAAGCAAAGAAATTAAAGTATATCTTTTTTTAACGGGTGAGAATAAAATGTTAATTCCGTCTGTGCTATCAGTTACTTTAGCGGTGCACCGTTAAAATGATATGTGAAAATGAAAGCACGACAGGTTTTTTTTAATGGATGATAATAGAATGGTAACCCCGCTCGTGCTATCGGTATATGCTGGCGGGGCACCAGTGAGGGATGATAGGTGAGGATGAAAACGCAGGTCAGTTAGCCCATCGTGATGAACACATATGGAATTCAGCACTATGGTTTCCAGGGGAATCCACGTGGAGATCGGCCTGACAGGAGTTGTTAATACCAATTACTAATAATCCTTTTTCTCTTCCATTAAAATATATCGTATATATTATTTTATTCAATACTCGTACATAAAGAATCGATGATATATATTATACACTCTACGGAATTGGGTTATTTGTGAAATCTTTGGAAATATTTATTCATCCTCAATATTTTTATATTACACTAGCGCCATCTGTTAAACTTAGTTCTATTAATAGTATGAGTTTGAAGTCAATCAAGAGATTTCAGTTGTAACGTATAGATGGCGTTATTATAATACAACGAATTTGGACGCATGTAGTTTCTTGACAACTATACAAGTATATACGGTAGTAAAATATATCAACAGTATCTGATGCGATAAATGTTGTTTATCCCCATAAAAATATTGAGTACGTACATCACAATATGTTTTTCTGATTTTAATGACATTTACAAAAATGTCATTAACATCAGTTGAGCGGTATCGGTAACACGATTTTTTTATATATCAAGATTCGGTAGGTAGAGGCGAATAGTCGAAAAAATCAGCAACGTCTTTGCGACTGCCCTGGTGTCGTCAATGTCCATGGACTGCGGTAACTACTTACTTACGCCCTCTGACATAAAAAAATCACTGACCTGAGCATACAGGTGAACTGCACGTCGTACTGGTAGCGCGCGAGCGCGGCGACACCGTCGGCGCGGACGGCGCGGACTTTGTCGCGCAGCGCGGGCCCGGCGCCGGCCGCGCCGCAGCGCTCGCGCAGGATCGACATGATGTTCGCCTGCCGCAGGAACGCCACCACCTGCGCCCGCGCATTTCATAAGTAAACGCGTTCATAACTATTGACCACCGAACTGTAGCAACGTCGCAATTATCTTCAGCAACAATATTTTTATTTTTTATACAACTTAGAATGGCAAACAAGCTGACGGCCCACCTGATGGAAAGTGATAACCGTCACCTATAGACATGAGCAGTATCATGGACATAACAGAGTATACTGTTTCGCCCATGATACCCCACATGCGTTGCCATTCCTGAGGACTCAGGTGTTATTCCTCTGTACCCTGTAAATTCACGCCATATCCCACCCTTCAAACCGAAACAGAGCCATGCAAACACAACTGTTTCACGGTAGAAACACGAATGGGACAGAGGTACCCAAGCAATCGACTTTTGTACAATTTAATTTAATTTTTTGTAATATTTCTGACTGGTTATTTAAAAAGTGCTCTGAATACATAGCATATAATTTTTTATGTCTATTTTATATTTTGCTACGGAGACTTTCAGATACATTATCAATTAAAGTTTTTTTTTTGGGAAAATTTTGGGAGAATACAATCTTAAATTATTTATTTATCAATACAGACAAATATAAACAATATATACCTTATCATTGTAAGCGACAGGTATTTCCTCCTGTGAGTTGTGCGCGTGCGTGTCGACCGTGGTGAGAGGCGGCCGCGGCGGTGGCGTCGGCGCCTGCGCATACACAAAAACAGTTGCAATTTCATTGATTATTCACAAAATAATATAACACAAAATTAACTAAATAATACCAATGTACAACACCATGCGCTAAAACAAACACCGAAGCTAAGAACAAATAACTAAATTGTGAGTAATAAAAAAAATATAAATAAATGACAACAAGACACAATTACATGACACAATGGCACCCACAAACGTGCAACCAACTCGATATGATTTTGAATGAAAAACAACCAAACATTATGCAAAGATGGTGCAATTATGGATTATCTAAATTTAAAATAAGTATCAAATACTTGTACATAACTGGTCGAAGTCATAAAAACAACTCTCTATATAACATATTTGACAACGAAGAGCGAAAATAAACAAAAAACACTTGCGACGCTGAAATATATTAAAAAATGAAATAAAAACTTTCTGTTTGTAATATACATTTTTTTTTTGATGGGTGATAATGGAATGGTAACCCCGCCTGCGCTAATGGGATACGCTGGCGGGGCACCAGTGAAGGGTGATCGATGACAATGAAAACATGCCAGTTAGCCCATCATGATGAATCCATCAAGAATTAACCATGATAGTTTCCAGGGAGAACCACGAGGAGGTCGACCTGGTTGGGTATATTGCTAGCAATGAGATTTTTAATCTCCATTACTAATAATCCCTTTCCCCCCAATATATATATAGCCCAAAGCAATAGGTGATGTACAAACTTATCAACTGAAAAAAAAATATGAGAAATTCAATCATGCGTTTCAGAATACATATACAATGACAAAAAATAAAATACCTAAACGCCTTTTAATAGACAAATAATGAGTAATTCATTTAAATAATTTTATTGACTAAAATAAAATATGGTACAAAAAGCTGACTTAATGTCATTCTCCACCAGTCAACATTTTCAATTTACATGATATTTCTATATGAAATAACAACAGTCTAAATTATAAGATAAAATTATTTACGTAACAAATAACTATTTGATTAAAAGCCGTTTTGTTCAAGCCAACACTGGACAACAGTAATGTACGAGAGCTGATAAATACTATAAACATATCATTGTAATTACACACAGCTCTTTATTTCCCTAAATAAACTCGTTTTAGTATGAACTAACAGGAAAACTACTAACAGGAACTAATAGGACAAATTAAATATCATATTTAAGTAAATAATCATTACGTTAATGTGTCAGTTGGTGCTAGAAGAGGCAACTGAGGGAACTTAATCATCGAGTGTCATTACTGTAATGTGTTCCTTTTCCAGTTGGTGTCAGAAGAGGCAACTAAGAAAACTTAATGATCGAGTGATGGGTAGTAATTTCCCCCTTAAAACATCACCATAATGGCGGTTGCCAATCCGCTTGCCAAGCGTGGTTAGTTACTATTACTAGTAAACCCCCCCCCCCCCGCCCCTTATGGGGAAGGGTCATGTTCAGCAGTGGACAGTTATCGGCTGAGGGGGGAAAGGGATTGTTAGTGATGGAAACTGAGAATCTCATTACTAGCAATATACCCAATCAGGTGGACCTCCTCGCGGTTCCCCCTGGAAACTATCATGGTTAATTCCTGATGAAATCATCATGATGGGCCAACTGGCCTGTTTTCATTCTCATCTATCACCCATCACTGGTGCTCCGCCAGCGTATCCCGTTAGCGCAGGCGGGGCCACCATTCCATTTTCACCCATAAAAAAAAGTTATCGGCCGATAAAGTAATAATAAAATAATGTAGTTATAGTTGTTCTAAATACTTCGAAAATTCTCGATCAGTTAGGTTTAGTATATATTATTTATCAACTCTCGAAATAAAGACTGATTTCAGAGTGACAAGGATGCACTAATTATTTCCAATAGGTACGTTTTTTTTTATACAACTTAGAATGACAAACAAGCTGACGGTCCACCTGATGGAAAGTGGTAACCGTCGCCTGTAGACATGAGCAGTACCATTGACATAACACAGTATACTGTTTCGCCCATGATACCCCCCATGCGTTGCCATTCCTGAGGACTCAGGTGTTATTCCTCTATACCCTCTGTACGTATTTAATAACAAAAATGAGGTCTAACTTTAAACGCGTCAGCACGTTACTTTAAAATCAGCTAGTAATATAGGCGAGGTGGATGAGTCAGGTAAGGTGGATGAGTTCAGGCAGAAACTAAACGAGGTGGGCAAATCAAACGAATGAGACGGGCAATATGGATGCCCTAGACGACACCGGCATATCAAGCGAAATAGGTGAGTTGGGCAATATAAGGGCCTCGGACGAGATGGATAATTCCGGTGACCTGGACGAGGTGGGCGAGGTGGTCGGGGCGGCGGCGCGGCGGCAGCAGCGGGCTGTAGGGCCCGGCCGCGGGCCCGGCGCGGGGCGCGGGCGGCACGCGGGGGTCGATGAACGTCGTGCGCCGCATCACGTGGTCCACGAAGAAACGCTGCGCAACACGCAACCCACAACATTCACTTCCACTGTACATCCTATACCACATTTGACGAAATCCTTACGAAAATGACTAGGCTGTTCCAGAATATTCCGAGGCAGTGTGATGATATTTTTGTAGGGATATATTTATTATACATATTTTTGTCACCCATATATAGGAGATTGGGGTGAATAGAAACCATATAAAGTTAGACAAGTGCTCCAATTCAAATGGTACTTCTACCAACGCTATGTATGTATATATATATATATATATATATATATATATATATATATATATATATATATATATATATATATATATATATATATATATATATATATATATATATATATATATATATATATAGATTTATCTACAATCAAACTGCTTAATAGTTAATTGTCGATATATACTTTTAATTACGTTCCTTTTTCCTGAAAAGATGACATCCCTCCTATATTGGGAAATATATCCCTCCTATATAAAGAAAAAATAAAAGAAAATAGATTCATTCGGCCAGAGAAAATACGAAAAAATGGTGTCATTCGGATTATTTATCTCACCAATATCAATACAGTTTCCTCTCTCCAAATTCATCCGTGATTCATATGCACTAACAAAAACATTTCTACTGTGTTTTAAGAGAGTCAGTCATTATTGACGGAAGTTAATTACACAAACAACTTAATGAGTGATAATTCGTTTGAATCTGCTATAATCATTGTACTGCTCTCAATATATTTTCTGAACGATAAATGTTAATTTATAAAATCCACTTTGTGAGTCATGATTTTTTTTTTTATGATAATATAAAGATGTTTAGTTGGTTAACAGTGTTTACCATCACCTGTGTGTAGAAAAAACATATTTATTGACTTTAGTTACGTATATAATAATAAAGGAATATATTATATAAGTGTCCTTCGATCATCAATATTACTAAATATACGAACGAATATCAGCTCATTGAAAAGCGGGGCTCTTAAACACGAACAAAGCTATACTTTTTTATTTGTAAATGAGTTTAAAGATATTTCTACTTATGGACAAATGATACTCATATTAATGGAATAGAATAGAATTTTATTGCTGTGTACATACATATAGCAGTAACCATTGTTTTGGATTTGACATCAGTATCAACAGTTATACCCTATCGGGCATGCAACGATTTAAGAACAGCAATTATAATAACATCGATACATTCCAATACTATTACCATTACTTGATTACAAATAAATATGAAATATTTGACAATACAATTAACAAGACAAAGAATAATCATATATTATTTCAATACACATGATTTTATCTAGTTGGTATCAATGATCGAGGTACACGACACGAAATTAGATGGCATAAAAAGACTTATAATTGCAAGGTAAAACTACTGCTGTCATATGTATATTATATGTATATATTTCGGTTTGTCAACGATCCTACACTAGTAAAATTTTATGTGACACAGCGAGACTAGTGGTTGGTTAAATATCGGCGAGGTAGTTACAACTTTAAATATCCTGCAGTAGGGGTGATATTATATAGCTATGTATATCTATATAATGTAGTAACAATATCTATATATTGTCAAAATAATGGACATTTTAAATATAGAATATCAACATAAAATATTCCAATGGAGAACCCAATCAAAACGAAGTAGATATCCGTCTTATATGGGCGATATCGGTAGATATCAGAAAAACTCAATATATAGATATCGGAACGGTATATATTATCGATGATTAAACCGTATAGCTCTGGTTTTCTTCATAGACATATTCAATAGGTAGACCTTGTTCAAGCCAGAATTAACTAGTGCCCATGCCACGGTTTGTGCGGAACTTTTAACTATACGCAAAGACATCACGTCATAGAGTACAAAATATGGCTGTTTTAAAAGCCCAAGCCCACTCTAGAAAATAATGTTAAATACGCCAATAGGTTTTTAATATAAATAAATGTTGATTGTTTGAATACCTTTCCATTGCGGTCGAGTTTGGTGTCCCACCCGAGTGGCAGGTCGCGGTCAGTCTCACTGAACATGTTGACGAGCGCCACCAAGTCCCGGTTGTGCTGGTACCGTTCGAACGACGCCGTATCCCGCCGTATCTTGGAGATCATGTGCTTCAGCGTCGAGTTGCAGTTGTACAGCGACGATGCCTCCTGTACATGCATTTATATTAGTTTTTACCTTCACGTGTTAAATTACTATGGCGCGGTGATTGCGCCCTATGATGGTAGACTTCTAGGACGCTTACTTTAAACATGACAGCCTTTGATAAGACTTGCTAGACGACACAAAAAACAAAAGAAAATTATTTTTAGTTTTTAGAACTTTTTTATTGGAATTTTGGTCATCTGATCTTCTATCATTGTGACACGCTTATTTTAAAATTTTTGTCATTGTAACGTCATCTAGTAGTGTGGTACTGTGTTGGTAGGTATTGTAGATATATAAATAGTTTCTACCGCTAGATGGCGTTGCGCGTAGAAATTTATGAAATATAATAAAGGATACAATAGATTCTGCGATCTAAACTCTTTTAAGTGACAAATAATTTTTATAATAATCCAAATATGAATTTAAAAATTCAGGGCTCGAATTGGAATTCAATCAAGTAATATGCAGATCGAAATTGTTTCTCTGACTAAAACGTTACCGCCATTTGCAATTTTTTTTTATACAACTTAGAATGGCAAACAAGCTGACGGCCCACAAAGTGATAACCGTCGCCTATAGATATGAGCAGTACCATGGACATAACAGAGTATACTGTTTCGCCCATGATACCCCACATGCGTTGCCATTCCTGAGGACTCAGGTGTTATTCCACTGTACCCAGTAAATTCACGCTACATCCCTTCAAACCGAAACACAGCCATACAAACACAACTGCTTCACGGTTGAAACACGAATGGGACAGAGGTACCCAAGCAATTGACTTTTGTACAAAGTCTCCTTCTGATAAAGCTGATATGTAAGAATTATAACTAGGTTTAATTCGCATGCCTGATTCATATGAAGTATAGAGTAGAAGTCTGGTCGGGCTAGGAACTCGGCAGCCGGGTGTGGCGCGTGCGGAGTACGGGCGGAGGCGGAGGCGGAAGCGGGCGCGGCGCCGGCAACGGGCGAGTGTGTGACGGCGGCGGGCACGGGGGCGGGCGGCGGGGACGCACACGCGCCGCCCTCGTCCGCTAGTTGCGTGCGCGTCATCGTCCGTCGGATTGATTGGTACCTGTAATTATTTATTAAATATTTAAATAAAAAATTATTAAATGGACTACTTCTTCCTTTCCCGTAGGTGTTGTAAGATGCCACTATGAGAATTCAATGGTTGAGGGATCGGCAGCAGCGGCTCTTTTAAAACATCGTTAAAGCTTTACTGCGGTTACCAATCCGCTTGCCAAGCGTGGCAATTACTGGTAAAACACCCTAAGTCCTCCTCCTGTACTCAACAGTGGACAGTTAACGGCTGATATGATGAAGCTGATATTATATGATTAACGTTTTAGTGCACTCTCTTTGAGCGCGCTTGTTTTTGAAAATTGACACGTATCGCAACATTGCCATATTTCGAAAAGCAAAATTTTGAACGTTTTTTACTTCCATTTTATTTTAAAATTTCAGGATGGTCTCAAATAATATCCAAATTATATCATATCCAAACAAATAGACAGTGACAGACCCAGTGGGAAAAATTATGAATAATTTTTAGCATTGAGTACTCAGCGTAAAAAAGAGACTGTTAAATATCTAAATTTTGGAGTCACCACACAACATTTTAATATCGATGTTTCTATTTATATTATTATACGTAAAATGTTTAAAAATCATCATCATACAAAAAAAAGGACAGAAGGCAATGTCGCGAAACAAAAGATAACGTTAGCCTAACGGCTATACTACGTTATATGGAAGCACGAACCTTCTATCAAGTTGCCTCCTCTGCACTTCAGGAGCAGGTGTTCTTGGTGTTGTTCCATTATCGCCGGGCCGTTGCCACGTCGTGGTCCGATTTATATGGTCTATATAGAACACACGTCCGTGACTATCCATGCGCGCCTCCCAACCTGAAATTGTTGAAATGTTCGTGTATTTTTTTTTAAACGCAAAATAATATATATAAAGTATATATGCATTAAAATTTTAAATACCTGCAGGTAAGGGCTCTTCACATTCAATAATCCCTCCGATCATATTGGCAGGGAAGTCACCCGTTAAGGCCATCTGCCTTGACGCTCTCTCAGGTATCGATGGTAACCTAATTCCAGCCATATGCCTCAGAGGCGTTGGTGATGCTACAGCATTGTCATTATCATCATTATCTTCAATAGGTCGTGGTCTTCGAAGAACAACCCCATCAGGCGGTCCAGCGTGAACTATAGTAAAGTGGTTACTGTTAACAAATTCAAGATTTGGCGATCTGATCTCTGATGTCCGTAATTCACTTGTAAATTCCACCATTTCAAAGTTCTCGTGTAGCCTATTCTCTAAGTTTATTGGTGGTGGATGGAGATCTGGTGGAGGCATAGGCCGAGGCCTTCTCGCATGATGTGTAGGCGTAGGTGGACATTGAGGAACTGCGGCACCAGCCAAAGCGGCCACTCTTGCTAGTACCCTAGGATGTGGCCGCACTGGACTCTCCTCGTTATTTTTATTAGGTGTTTTAAGCGGAGAGTGCTTTGGCGTATTTTCGCATCCGAGGGTCTTTAATAAATGCCGAGGTAAACTAGAATGCTTTGGCGTTGAACTATCACATGAATATTTTCGATTCATTAGCAAAGTTCCTACACACGGCAGAGTTTTGTTTGGATCATCTACGGGTGATGATGAATGTGAAGAGTTACAAGAACTTGGTGCATTAGGGCTATTATTATCAGTTTCCCTAGTCGGTGCATCAATGTGTGAAGAGTTCAGAAAAGCTGTCATCATAGTGGGTGTAGCACGACCTGAACATTGTCTCGTTAAAGGCTTATGGCTCTTTAGTATAGTAATTTCTTTCTCTTCAATTTGATTTCTGTTGTCATCTTCAAATTCAGAATTATTACTAATATCATTAAGAAAAGTGTTTTGAGCTTTCTCTTCTGATTTCGCATGATTTGGTGTTAGAATAACACTATCTACGACATCATTAGAGGGACTAGATTTATCTTTCCTTGCAAATGTTGTAGTTATATAATTATCTGGTCCTATATCTTTAATGAACATTATGTTATTTTTACTAATGCTAGTAGAGCTTTCAGGTACAAGTTTATCTTTCTTTTCCTCGTTTAACTTAGATATTTTCATAGAAGAGACCATGGAATCACATAAGCTGCCATCAGTTTCGGGTGTAGCCAGAGGAGCGACATTTTGACCTCCCCTCCAAAATGAAGTCGTTGAAGACATAGAGACCTGATTACCTGAATAAAATTCTCCAGGTTTGAAGTCATTTATTTGACCTTGTAATACAGCAGAATTTGTAATATTATTATCAGTAAAAAATTGTTCATCTATATCTATCAACTCAAATGTAAATGCATCTTCGGGTTTTGTGAGTTTTTTTGGCTTCCGATGTCTTGGTACCTGAGGTGGAGATAATGCGTGCATTCTTTCCAGTGGTTTGTGGGATTGTCGAGGAGGTAGGGGTGGAACAGGTGATTTTTCCGCATCACTTGGCACATTGGCACCTTCAACGTCATATACGAACTTCATTATTTTACAAGGATTCTTTGGTGACCATATTTTATAATACTCCGTACCTGGCGAAGTCGGTGATTCGAAACCACTGTTCGCTTTTGTTTTCTTTTTAACGCCAGTTGATATTTGCCCGCCGCCTGTGTCTACTGGCGGAGGGCATTTCTTCTTAACACCCGATGACGTAGCTTTGCAGTCTATAGCACTCTGAGATTCACTATTTACAGAAAGAGATTCTTTACTTACACTACTAACTAGAGATTTACTAGGATCACATTTTGTTTGATCGAGATTTATATTGTTCCCGTTACTTTCTAAAGCACTAATTGAGCATTTGTTGACATTTTCGCTAAGATGCTTGATGTCTTGGCTGGTACCGGAGACAAACTCAACCCGAGGTGGATTCTCTGAATTCATTTCAAAACTTTCATTGTGATAGGAAAATGGCGAGACTTGATCGCCACTCCGCTTTCTTGAAATACCTTCTTTGAGGCGAAGAGGTAATTTCTTCAGGTCTACCTTGAAACGCGGTGGTATTGTCGGGGACTCCGCCACACATTCTTCACCCTCGCCATTATAATAACGAAAGCAAAGTAGCTGCTCACAGTCTGTAATATAAAAAAATCCTTTAGTTTTATACTTTACTCGGACTCGGGTTTAAAGATATTATTTGTTTATTCGATAATAATTGAATTACCTTCATAAGGTTGATTCGGCTCATCAAGAAGCCACATTATGTCGCCGGTGGCGCATCCGGTCGCCGGCACGCGCCTGACGACGCCAGCGATGCTCGCCGATTCTGCAACAATATAATGATACTATTAGATCAATTATAACCAAAATAATATTAATTTATATATAATGATATCTAGTTATAAAATATAAAATGTTATTAGCTGATCTGTATAATTAAAAAATAACAAAACAAGTCTTTGTATTTGTATTTAAGTACTGTGATTTGAAAAATCTCATTAGGCCAGGTATCTGTAGTAGAAAAAAGTACCAAAAAGTGCGCAGGTGCAAAATATTTGACAGTAAAAACAAACAACAAACAAACAGAGTGCACTACAGACACCGGTCATGGCGAACCTTTCCGTTTTTTATCAAACAAAAATTAAGAGCGAGCGTAGGTCGGGCCCAGGCGCAGGCGCATCACAAATTATGCGCCAGACGTAATCACCGGATGCGGGAGTCGCCGGTACATTTTATGCGAAATAATCGAAGCCACCGAATTGCCAGTTAATTGGGGAACACGAACATAAATTACACGAACGAAAATTGATTCCACAAGCGTATCACAATATTTAGTTGGGTGCACTCGGCCATTACCATATTTTGATTGGATTAATGTACTCGTACGAGAGGACGGTTAACATCTCTCAGTCATCTTGCAGTTGATTAAGTGTTGTACGCTTTTAATAATATAAACCGGTTGAAATATTTATGCTCATTTCTTGGCAGTATTTTCTGACACATAAACTCCTGAAAAACACATCCGTAATGAGTGCTCGTATTCATTTATGCGGGAAGGAACCCACTGTGTGGCAAATAAACAAACGGACACACGCTGCGAAAGATAAATCGCAGTATTATCTCAAGCTGTTTCCGCTGAGTAATAATTACCCGTTTACTAAAATAAGAAAAAGTACGGGAAGATCGATAGACTTCATTACTTTTTTACCTACACCGATTTGTACTTCAGCTTTTTGGTAGGAACACCATTAACAGTTAAGCACTTATGTGTACTGAAAATTTGTTTAATGGTAGTAATTTCCTGCAGGCGGTTAACGAGCATGATTAGACAGTGGTGTGGACCACGTTATACGTTAACGCGGGCGCTGATTAGTGGAGCGGTTGATGACGGTGCGTGGAGTACATGTGCGTATGACGACACGCGGTGCGTTGTGCTGCGTGCTGACACAGAGGGCGTCTATTTCCGGTGATGACGCAACTTCCACGCTCTTCCGCTCGCAGGATATAGGAGATACAAGTGTCGCGCCACTATAGAGATCAGCCGGCTTGTTTCCGCGGATTTGCGATAAGACTACATAGTGTTAGATATATTTATGTGTCATAGAACCTATACTATTATATGTACTTGAGATATAAGTTTTGTCGTAAAAAGAAACATCCATTTTTACAAAATTAGTATGGGATCAATACAAAATATATATGCTTCTTATAAAAAGCGTCAAAATTAAAGATCTTGGCATAGTTATCGCCGAACATATAAAACCTACACAAAAAATAATCTTAGTTCAATAACAAGTTTTCATTTCGTTTACATTTTCAACTTTCATTTTAAAGTCAGTTGATATATTAAGTAATATCGTTTTAAAGAATGTTAATATCTAATAAAATTCCAATCGGCAACTTCCGTCTAATTTTCAGGAATTCTCTACTGAATTGTGATGATTGCTCTGAATTATTTTTAATCTTTCAGGGGAACAGATAAAAATAAATAAATCGTATTATTTGCGAACTATGTAGCGAACGCACGAATAAAATTATTCAGTCTTCTTGTCTATTAAAAGTATTCTTCGAAATACTATTCCAATCAATCTTTTTAGTAATACGATGTGAAGATATACATATGTATGTTATTAAATCAAATCACTATTGTTTATTTAATACATACGTCTACTACGAATCTATGTTCGAGGTGTTAGAATTCGAGACACAAGTTCAAAAACTTTCTGTACATTCAGTTTTCTAAAAACAACAATTTTACAAAAGTTACAGAAAAAGTTCTTAGCAACAATTACATGGACAGCGGACTAACACTGAATAGTCATGAAGCAACTTGATCGCTCGTTTGGCGGAAGCTTGTAGTTAAACTAAACTACGGTCATTCCACGACCCCATCCACTCAGCTGTCTTACACCCACGCCCTACTGTTTAACCGTTTTTATATCGACTATGATATGTTTTTAAGTGGACCCTCATTTCACACGAGATCTTGAAACGTTGACGCCTTGATATTCCCAAAATAAACAGCAACAGCTGTCAATATGTACCATGCTCTTTCGATAATTTGATTCCTAATGTGAAACGCCATAGTTCTTGTGATGATAATGATCCATATCATCACAAGATATATATTTCTCTTTGCTGAAATTTTATTATCTAAAAAAATTAATATAATGATTTTTTTTTTATTATAACTTAAATCCATGTAGAGATATCACTTATTTTGTCAAATGTAATGCTAATATAAATTAAAATATGACTTTAAACCTAAATGAGGTAATAAGAGGTATATAACATTTGAATCTTAATCCTATCTACAAATAAACGGACTGATGGACAAAATAATTTATAAAATTGTATTGTTCAGTCACAGAACTTTTAAAATAACAGATAAAAAATAAAAGGATTTTGATTTTTATTTCTGTACTCCACAATCTACATACATCTTAACAATATAACAGCAGGTATGTAGTATTTCAAACTGTAAGTGTATCCGTTTCAAAATAAGCTACATTACAGCTGAAGCCCGGAAATGAGAGTTTAAAGGGGTCGGGTCGCTGACAGATTCCCATTAGCGAAGTGATGAGACAACGGTTTCACGAGTGTAGTGAGGGTATGTTGACATGTTATTGATCCCTTCCAAACTTTCACACGGCGTCTTTCAGCGCATTAAGAATTCTTCCAAATAATGTCAAAGGATAAGCTAGGATAAAATGTAAAAAGGCCATGTACAAATAAAGAGGCAGAGGAAAGAATGGGATTTTTTCAACACTGAAGTAACAAATCCATAGCAGAAGTTGTTGTATATGTTTATAATATTATTAGGAAATATTGTAAATGTGAAAGTTAGTAAGGGTGGATGGATGAATGATATTTTTTCCTTTTTTACATAAAAACTACTACACGGATTTGAATAAAATTTGCTACACTGATAGGTTATATTCTAACTTAGCATATAGGATAATTTATATGTCTATTTACGACGGCAAAACCGCGGCATGCAGCTAATATAATAAAATACTAAATGTATCTGCGATAAAGAATATAATCATTATACTGTTTTGCTAATAGAGCTTCGCAAAAACTTAATGTAATTAAAAAACCGATTAGATTTGTACGAAAAACCCGTAAGCAATGATGATTCCACCAGTTTCCTTCACAAAATTGCCTGTTAGTCAAAGCATTTAAAAATTCCGTTCCATTCGTTCGAGACTCCATTATGAGCGGCTAATTTTACGAGTGGGGGACCACTTAAAATTCCCTCCTCCGTAAGTGAATTGCGCCGGATATTGAAGGTTAAATACAGTGCTACAAGAGTACCTATTAGCACCTACCGAGATAGAAGGCACGAATGGAGACATTTTACTAAAACCAAAATAAAAAAGCATAGATTTTAAAATGATTTATTTAGTTTGTCTTCGAAAAGCAGTAAACTCTTTGAAATCGAGTTTTGTACTTAAAGAGTTTACGAGTCGAAGTTTTGAGTCAGCAGTAAAAAACGATTGAATATGAATAAACGTTTCATTTTAAAAATTATAATTAATTATTTTTCAGCTACAAAATCAATTCTCATACTTAGTTTAGAACTTCGTCAATCAGGAAAATTAGGCATAAGAAGAAATTTCCTTTCTGTTTTTTTTTTTTATTTATTCTTTATTCACCTCATTACAAAAAAAAAAAAAAATGTTAGGTACAAAAGGCGGACTTAATGCTATATAGCATTCTTTAGCAATCAACTTTTTCAGTCTTTCTTTCCCATGGATATAATAATACATTCAAATAGATATGTAGGATCGTATCTCAGTTTATAAAGCAATGATTGATTTTTAATATCAATAAAATATCGTACAATATCTTTGTAGTTTAGTGATAAATGTATTTATTTCGCTCAAAACATCATATTTATACAATTCCACACAATTTTAAGTAAACTATACTATATAATCTCCATATGATGCTACATTTGACATATTATAGCTAGTTCTTATACTACATATTGAAAAAGTTTTATACGTTTTTTCTATTAGAAATTATTTTATTTTTAAATATTTTTAACGGAACCACTGCCATTTTTTTATGCAATTTGGAATGGCAAACAAGCTGACGGCCCACCTGATGGAAAGTAGTAACCGTCGCCTATAGACATGGGCAGTACCATGGACATAACAGAGTATACTGTTTCGCTCATGATACCCCCCATGCGTTGCCATTCCTGAGGACTCAGGTATTATTCCTTTGTACCCTGTAAATTCACTACCATATCCCACACTTCAATTTGAAACACAGTCAGTAAACATAACTGCTTTATGGTAGAAACACGAATGGGACAGAGGTGCCATTTCCATGTTAAATATACCTATATCAGAGTTTACTAATACTTCTACTAGATTTTATTCGTTGTACTATACGATACAAGCTATTTTTAAATGAATTAGTCACTATTTTTAGACATTTATACAAACTTACTTTAAATAACTTATAATTATAAAACTTACTATAAATACTTAGTTTTTTTTTTTTATAAAAGAAGCATATCGACCCGAATACTCTGATTTCATAATGAACGGAAAATGGTAATGCAACATGATGTAGCCATTGTCTGCTAAATCATTAGCATTTTCCTGGTAATTGATCCCGTGATTTCACAGAAAGAGTACCTCATGCTTGAGCATATATTCTTTTTTTCTAGCATTCATTTTTTCACACGCGGCCAGTGAGTGTGTAAATCCGGAGTGAATCACGACGACTACCTAATAGTAAACTGCGTGTGCGCAATCCTCTGATGTAAATTGTAGTTATATAAAAAAACTGTGGCAGTGATTCATTAAA